TTATATGAAGAAGGAAGGAAGGAAGGAAGGAGGGAGGGAAGGTAGGAAGGAAATCTTTGGGCCTGATAGTTTCCTGGATGAATTGTATCAAACATTTAAATTGGAAAGAAAGAAGTACATTTATCTCTGTTCAGAATATCTTTGATATTCTCTTATGCATAGAAAATCCTAAAGATTACACATATACATTCTCATTCTCTCTCTCTCTCTCTCTCACACACACACACACAAAAAAAAAAAAAACTGTTAGAGCTAGTACATAAATTCAGCAAAGTAGCAGGATACAAAGTCAATATACAAAAATCAGTTGCATTTCTATACAAAATGAATAATCTGAAAACACTAGAAAAATAATTTCATTTGCAATAGCATTATAAATAAAACATTTAAGGAATTAACTTAGCCAAGGGAGTAAAAGACTTGTACAATGAAAACTAAAATTTTAAAGGAAATATAAATAAAAAGAAACACATACCATGTGTGTATATCATAAAATTTAATATTAAGATTTCAATGCTGGGGCTGGGGTTGTGGCTCAGCAGTAGAGTGCTTGCCTAGCGTGTGTGAAGCACTGGGTTCGATCCTCAGCACCACATAAAAATAAATAAAATAAAGGTATTGTGTCCAACTACAACTAAAAAGAAAATTTTTTTAAAGATATCAATGCAGGTTGGGGCTGTGGCTCAGAGGTAGAGTGCTCACCTACCATGCGTGAAGCACTGGGTTCAATCCTCAGCACCATATACAAATAAAATAAAGATATTGTGTCCACTTATAACTAAAAAATAATTTTAAAAAAAGATATCAACGTTAACTCAAAAATGATTTACAGATTCAATACAACCCCTATCAAAATCCCAATGATATTTTTGCAGAAATAGAAAAAAAAATCCCAAAATGTATAAGGAACCTCAGGGGACCTCAAATAGCAAAAATAACCTTGAAAAAGATAAATTTGGAGGACTCACACTTCCTGTTTTCAAAGTTACTACACCGCTACAGCAATCAAAACAGTGTGGTACTGGCAAAAAGACAGGTATATAGATGGACAGAGTAGAATGGGGAGCCTAGAAATAAACTCTCACAAACATAGTCAAATAAAATTTTATATTGGTGCTAAGATACTTCATTCAATGAGGAAAGAATAGTCTTTTCAATAAATGATGCTGGAAAAACTGGATATCTATATGCAAAAGAATGAAGTTGTACCCTTATCTAACACTAAATATAAAAAGTTACTCAGAGAAAAAGGGCTAGGGATGTAGCCCAGTGGTAGAACATTTGCATGGCATGTACAAAGCCCTAGGTTTGATCCCCAACACTGCAAAAAGAAAAAAAAAATTTTTTTAATTAACTCAAAATGGATCAAAGACCAAAATATAAGACTCAAAACTATAAAACCCTAAGAAAAAAAAAGCAAAAGCTTCATAACATTGGATTTGGCAATAATTTCTTGGATATGACACCAAAGGCACAGCAACAAAAGAATAACAGACTGGACTTTATACAAATATTAAATTTATGTGCATCAAAAAACAATATAGAGGGGCTGGGGATGTGGCTCAAGCGGTAGCGCGCTCGCCTGGCATGCGTGCAGCCTGGGTTCGATCCTCAGCACCACATACAAACAAAGATGTTGTGTCCGCCAAAAACTAAAAAAAATAATAAATATTAAAATTCTCTCTCTCTCTCTCTCTCTCTCTCTCTCTCTCTCTCTCTCTCTCTTTAAAAAAAAAAAAAAAAAACAATATAGATCCTAGCTACTCACAAGGCTGAGGCAGGAGGATCATAAGTTCAAGGCCAGCATTGGCAATTTACCTATCTCAAAATAAAAAATAAAAAGGGCTGGAGATGTAGCTCAGTAGTAGAAAGTCCCTTGGTTCAATCCCTAGTGTGGGAGGCTTAATGGTACAGCACTTGTCTAGCATGCACAAGGCCCTGTATTCTATCCCTAGAACAATTCTCATTCCCCTCACCCCACAAATATTAAGAGTAAAAAAGCAAACCATGAAATGGGAGAAAATATTTGCAAGTCATCTTTCTGCTAACAGATTAATATCTAGAATACATAGAGAACTCCTAAACTCAATAACCAAAAAAAAAAAAAAGCTAATTTAAAAAAATTAACCAAAGACTTACTAGATACTTCTCCAAAGATATACAAATGGCCTATAAGCTCATGAAAAGATGTTCAACATCTCTAATCATTAGCGAAGTAAGAATCAAAACTAAAGTGAGATACCACCTCACACCTACAACCTCACATAACTTTAGCCCTGGAATTTGTGTTGTAGACGGCCCCACCTCTTTCCTATCCTGTCCAAGACTTTCCCTAAATGGAAATCAAGGAGTATGTTTTCTGGATATTACAGAGCAGTGTGACTCCAGCTAAGATCTATGTCACACAGATACAACATGAGGGTTTGGTCAGAAACTTTCAAAAGTGATCAAAGTGCTCAAACAAGAAGGACTCTTGGGCTGAAGTTGTGGCTTAGCAGTAGAGCGATCACCTAGTATGTGCGAGGCCCTGGGTTCGATCCTCAGCACCACATAAAAATAAATAAAACAAAGGTGTTGTGTCCAACTACAACTAAAAAATAAATATTAAAAAAAAGAGAAGAACTTCTGTTGACCTATATTTGCAGATGTAAGAAAAGCAGAGAATTTCGGGGAAGAGACCATATATCTCTTCCCCAGCCAGACATGGGGACAGATTTGCCCCAAAAGAGAACATGATAGTGGATAATTTCAAGGCAAATGTGAGCAGGCTGCATTTCCAGGGCCTGTGCACAAGAGAAAGGTACCATGAAGGGAGCCAGCCTAGAACAGGGCAAGGCTCACGAGAAGTTGGTGCAAAGATCACAGTGGGCCAGAGATGAGGTCATTCCATTTGCCCAGAAAAGAATAAGGTCCAGAAAATTGGCTTTCCAGGCTGGGGTTGTGGCTCAGTGGTAGAACACTCGCCTAGCACATGTGAGGCCCTGGGTTTGATCCTCAGCACCACATAAAAATAAATAAATAAAATAAGGATATTTTAAAAAATTGGCTTTCCTCCTCCTGATCAGGGTACTCCTGGAAAACCAGAAAGCCCCTGCTCCTGCTCTGATCCCTGTGGAGAACTAGTAAGTACAAGAGGAAGATGGGCTTTGTCCCAGAGAATGGAGGCCTTAGGTGAGTGAGAAGTTCATAGTCTAGCCAAGGTGGTAAGTTCTCAGTGCACTCCAAGCCCTGCTTCATCAAGTTTCTCCCTAATGCCTCATGATTCCTCTCAGATCTCACTGGTTCCCAAAGGTCCTATTGTTAGCTGGTCAGCCCACCTCCCAACACCTGCCTTGAGGTTTAAGATTTAATAGTGACCTGGGAATGGGGTAGGATTATTAGTGAGAGAAAAGTCTTCAGGTCCCACAGTTATTATTTTCTGTGGTCCCTGCCAAATAGTAAGAAAAATGGCTTTCTTTCTTCTCCTCTCCCTCACCACTCCCTCTCCCTCTTCCTCTCTTTTCCTCTCCTCTCCTCTCTATATACCAGGGACTGAACCCTGGGTTCACTTACCACTGAGCTACAACCCCAACTCTTCTATTTTTTGAGACAAGATCTTGCTAAGTTGCCCAGGCTGGCAAAGAACTTGTAATCCTCCTGCCTCAGCCCCCCAAATCGCTGGGATTATAGGCACTCTTAGTGAGAAGGATGATTTTCCATGAAAAACTTGAAATCACAACCATGTGTGGCTTCTTCTTGAATGGACCCTCCTGAGGCGCTGTAGAGGAGGCTGGGGAAAGGCAGAGGGTGGAAAAAATGAAGAGAAAGGAAACTGAAGAGTTAGATAGAACAGATCTAACAGATCTACCAGGTGCAACCACAGGGCTGTGACATTTCATGAACAGTGTCAAAACAACTGTAAAGCCCCTAAATGAGAAGTGCCCTAGAGAAATAAGCCATCCCACATCATGTTCACTGGGGAAAGAATGAGGAGAGCCCACCCAGCCCATGTTCCCAGGATACAAAGAGTCCAATATATCCAAATAAGTCTTCCCAAGAGAACTGAGAAAACAGGAAAGAGATCACCTACACAGGAACTCACCTTTAATCCTAAGTGCCCAGAGCCAGAATCCCCAGGTGCCTCAGGACACTACTAATCTCAGGGTTGAAGAGGATAAAGATGGTACTAGGGTGAGGAGGAAGGTGAGCAAGGGTCTGATGGGCAGCATATGATGCCTGTATCACAGGTGGCATAAAGATTAAAAGAGAGCATATGTGACCTCCTAGCACAGAGGGTGATAAGAAGAGACACAAGGTTAAGTCCCTTGTCTTCAACACTGAACAATGCTCTAGATAACTCTTTCTTTCAGCCATAAAACAGAAGCTCAATCGATACAAAGCTAGTTATAGTCATTACACCTCCCATTTAGTGTAAACATTCAATAGTTTGCAGCATAGGTGTGTTTAATTTTGAGTTCTACCCCAACTTCAGGAGGGTGTTTTATGATGCTAGTTTTCTTCTAACTCTTAAATATTCTGAATTCTGAAATTAATCTGACCTGAAGAGTTCAGAGAAAAGTCTGCAGATCTGTAGCAAGTCTGGCTCCTTTTCCTTTTTAAAATTGAGCATCTCTGCGAAAGAAAGAATAGAAGTATGAGAGAGATGAGCATGTGGATTAGCTTATAAACTGGGCAGGGGACTGATGTGGGGTCCCCTGTGTGGATCTTGATGTCCAAGTCTCAGAATAGGAAAGAAGAGAAACTGTGTATATCCAACCCCCTTTGTAAAAGCAGCGGGTATAGATTAATTAAACGCTTCATATGAGGGAGGGAGAGAGGGAGGGAGAAAGAGAGGGAGAGAGGAGAGAGGGAGAGAGTAGGCAGGCAGGCCAAGCCAAGGAGAGGAAAGGAGAGGAGATATCTTTGAAGAACAGCAAGTCTGAGAGTTTCCCTCAGCATGCGGAAAGGGGGGGAGGAGTTTGAGGTTGCTGCTATGAGAAAAGAAAAAACCAACCACAGTAGAGCTTTTATTGCCATCAAAGGTTGGCTTGGTACCTGAAGCAGGGAAACTCAAGAGAGAAACTGTGGCCACTGCCCAGCAGGTACAAAGACGAGGCACCTGTACTCAGTGGTCAGCAACGAGAGCACAAAAAGATATCTCTGGGCAGGAGCCATGGCATGGCCACCCCCCTGCTGGCTCTTCATTCTGGGGACCCTAGTAGGGATCTCAGCTACTCCAGCCCCCAAAAGGTGTCCAGAGAAGCACTACTGGGCTCAGGGAGGACTATGCTGTCAAATGTGTGAGCCAGGTAAGAGCAGGCCTCGGCAGTGGCCAGGTAAGTGGGAAAATGGGACCGGGTTTAAGATGAAGGGAAGCATTGGACAAAACTGAGCTCAAGCAATGAGAGGTATCCTGCAGTAAACTGCAGGTGTTAACTTGAAGAGGAAGAGAAATGACCTTCGTTAGGCCTTGATCCTGAACCTTCTGCTCTCAGGAACATTCCTTGTGAAGGATTGTGACCAGCACAGAAAGGCTGCTCGGTGTGATCCATGTATACCAGGGGTCTCCTTCTCTCCAGACCACCACACCCGGCCCCATTGTGAGAGCTGTCGGCACTGTAACTTTGGTGAGATGGGTAAGGGTATGCAGGAGTGACATTGAGCGAGCATTTGGGGGAGCAAGGCCGGAGGGCAGAGCTGGGTATGGAGAAACAAGGAGAACAGGAGTCAGAATTTCATCTACTTCAAGGCTCAAAGGAAATGGGGTCAATGCTGAAAAATGGGGAGCCCTAGGCAGGGTATATATTAATGTGAGGAGATATCTAGTATTCCAGGGAAGAAGGTAAGCAGAATTTGAAGGACTGGCAAGAAGGGGTCTATGGATAGGATCAATACAATAATAGAGGAATGAGTTTGAAGCCAGCCTGGGAAACATAGTGAGATGCTATCTTTAAAAAAAAAAAAAAAGAAAGAAAGAAGAAAAAAAGAAAAGAAAGACATAAAAAAAGAACAAAGTGGCTCTAGAACCCCAGATTTCAACAGGAAACTCCCAACCAGTGAATTAGCTGTGTTCTCAGAGTGCGTATTTGTAGGTTGGTTATTTAGAACTTGGAATGTGTCTTTCTGAGGAAATAACAATATAAGGCAGACAGTAACATTTTTGCACAAAAAATATTTAGGAAAACTCATTTAAAAATTAAGATATAATATATGCAACTGTGCTTATGAACTGTATTATTATTTTTCCTTCTTCGTTAGAAATCCAGAAACTATGTGTCCATAAACACTAGAATAGCAGACTTTAAAGTTGCCCCTTTAAACTAATGTTCTTCAGCAAGACACTTTGGAGGACTACTTAACTGTCACTACTAAACTACTTAACTATCAAATGTATTTGGTCTCACTACGTCTTTTAATACTATATTCTTAAAAAAAAAAAAAATAGGTTTTGCCATTGTAAATCAGTCAAAGAGCAACATTCTATAGCTCTGTGGTAGAGTGCTTGCCTAGCATGAACAAGGCCCTAGGTGCAATCTTCAGAATCACATTAAAAAAAAAAGCAACATTTTTAATACACAAAATATCCCTCAGTCAACTTAAAAATATGACTGTTAATAGATGCTTTTCTCTCCTTGCCAGCAACCTCAGCAGGGTTGAAATTTTTTTGTCAGAGCCTCCCCCACTCACTCTGTAGGCCCCAACAGAGGCATTTTCTAAATATTGAGCTGATCTTCGGTCCCTTTACTTTGCTGCAGGATGGCTCAATCCATGATCCTTCACTGTAAGACACAGTTTATAGATTCCACAGTACTCAGGCAACACCCAGGTACAGAGAGACTATATCCAGAATAAGTGATCGGAAGGAGGCTGAGTGAGTCTGGCCTTCTCTGGATCTCAGTGTTTGCACCTGTAAGATGAGGAAGTGCCTGAAATTAGCCTGGATTTTTTTCCCCCATAGATTAGACATGGTAAATAGAACCCCCAACTCTCTGGATACTCATCAATGAAAATAATGGCACTTCTGCCAGATGCAGTGGATTACTCCCATAATCCCAGTGTCTCAGGAGACTGAGGCAGGAAGATCACAAGTTGGAGGCCGGCCTTGACAATTTAGCAAGACCCTAAGCAACTTAGCAAGACCCTGTCTCAGAATAAAAAATAAAAAGGGCTCGGAATGTAGCTCAGTGGTAAAGTATCCCTGGGCTCAACCTCAGGGGTAAAAAGAAAAAACAATGGTACCTCATCCATTTTTAAGCAGCCTCAAACCATTCTTTAAATATTTCCTTTCCCTTTGAGCAGATGTCCTCATGATCCCCACAACGACCACCACCACTGTCCTCCCCTCATCACTGTCCTAGGCTGCTCTTACTCTTCCCTTGCAGATCTTTGAACAGGCTGGCTCACAATTCCTGGTAAGCCACAAGGAAACCAAATTCTAGTAGCAACTCACAGCCAGAATTCTGAAAAGAGGTCATAGAACCATAAAGATGAGAAGAAGGAATGTCTCTCTCTTCCTACCCTGACAAAAAAGCATAAGCAAAAGAAAACTGTTAGAGTTGACAGAGTCTTTGGCATCCTCCTTTTCTGCACTCCTCTTTCATCTGTCAGGGCTCCTAGGACTACCCAGGTCCCCACAAGTGTGCTGCTCCGGGGTCCTCACCAGGCCCCTTGACCAAGCCTAATACACTTCCAAATGTTATTGTCTTCCTCCAAATCACCCCCTCCCTCTCAACCACAAATACCTGCAAGCCCAGCCCAGGGCAAAACTGCCCATCCATGGTATAGCTGAGTAGCAGCCACCAGCACTTGACCCCTACACTCGAGCAAAATTTATATTTTTAAAGGCAAAGGATGTCTGTAATCAAGTAATTCTCTAGTAAAGTTAAAAACATATCGGGGACTGGGCACAGTGGTGCACACCTGTAATCCCAGTGGCTCAGCAGGCTCAGGCAGGAGGATTGTGAGTTCAAAGCCAGCCTCAGCAACTTAGCAAGGTCCTAAGCAACTCAGGGAGACCTTGTCTACAAATAAAATATAAAAAGGGCTGAGGATGTGACTCAGTGGTTAAGTGCCTCTGGGTTCAATCCCCAGAATAAATATATATATTTATTAATTAATAATATATTAATAAATATATATAAGTACTATTACTAATTGCTAAATACTGGAAACCCTCCAAATTACCTTCTGCTAATTGTAGAATGGATGAATACACAATGACATTCATAAAATGGAATAATATACAACAATAAGAATGAATGATCTGCAACATGGATGAATTTCATGTAGGACTAAGCAAAAGAAGCCACACAGAAATGAGTCCAGATTGCATGATTCCACCCATACAGTACAAAAACAGGCACAACTGATTTGTGGTATTAGGAAGTCAGGAGAATAGCTAGCATTGGGGGGTTAGTGATTAGAAAAGAACAGTGCTAGTCATTTTTGGTTTCTTGACATGCTGCTGGTCACACCTATGGGTCTAATTTGCACTGTTTAAGATTCATACTTATGATATGTGTCCTTGTCTATGTTATACTTCAATAAAAAGTTATTAAAGTATTAGTGAGCACAAGAGAAAATTATATAGGTTCCTTCTGCTTTCATTGTTTCTATTTCTGAGCCTATGAATTTTCCAAAATGTCCAATTTTCTTCTTTAATAAAAATAATAATAATAGTAAAGAAACTAGGCCACATTGAGGGAAGGCTAGGCCCTTGTCGGGGATAGATGAAACAGTGGGAATGGAAAGGGATTCATGTCCCTAGAGGTGGGCCTGAGATGGGAGTCAGGGGTATTAAGCTAGTGTACCCCACAAGTCATCTGTATGTCCTTTGTTCCCCCAACCCTCCTCTTTCCTCAGGTCTTCTCCTTAGTAACTGCACCATCACTGCCAATACAGAGTGTGGCTGCCCCAAGGACTGGCAGTGCAGGGACAAAGAGTGTACAGAGTGCGATCCTTCTCCAAACCCCTCTCTGACCATTCATCCATCTGAAGCCCTGGGCCCATACCCACCACCCACCCACTTACCTTACACCAAAAGTAAGTTCCAGGCCACCCTTTGTCCAGTCACTTGAGGGTAGGGGAGACACTCCAACCAGCACTCCCCTCTACTGCACCAACCCCCAGACAAGCTCCTCCTGGCCAGCCTGTACAGCCTTCCCATCTCATCCTGTGGCGGCATTGTGCCATAGGCCTTCGGACCCAAGTGCCCTCTGGGGTTCCCTGCTGCTACTCATTCTGTCTCGGTTTTTTCCAGAGATGCCAGAGACTGGGACAGTCAATCATGTGCAGACTCCGGCTGATTTCAGGCAGCTGCCTGACCCAACTCTCCCCACCCACTTGCCACGTGAGTTTTCGCCCTAATCCCCACCCCCAGAGAGAATGCTTACTGGAGAGGCCAGGAGGGAAGCCAGCCCGGAAGTTCCTAGGACTAAGGATGAGAAAAGGAGGGGTAGACAGAGTTTCTCAATTAGAAGAGGACTGGTCTCCTGGGGCAAGGGGATAGAAAGTAGGGAAAGGAAAAAGTCAGGGGTAACAGGAGGCCTGGGTTGAGGACTGAGGGGCTAGACCACCTCACCCCCCAAAACCATATGACCCTGCCTTTCACAGCTCAAAGGTCCCTGTGTAGCTCAGACTGTATCCGCGTCTTTGTGATCGTCTCTGGAATGTTTCTTGTTTTCGCCCTGGGAGGAGCCCTGTTCCTCCAACAAAGAAAATATGGATCAAGTAAGAGACAGAATATGAGCCTCCAGTTCTGCCCCTGCACCCACACCCATCTTAGCCCAGCTGTCCATGCCTTGAACCTCACTGAAACCTCCCCAACCCCATCTGCACCAACCTGGCTCCTAACTCTTTCCTCTTCACTGGCACCTTCCTGGCAGCCCTCCCCAAGCTGACCCTCCCTTGCTTATCTCTTTTTCCCTCACTCCCTTGCCCCACTGCTGTCCAAGCCTCTCATCTAATTCTTCTTCTGCAGACAAAAATGAAAGCCCACTGGAGCCTGCTGAGTCTTGTTCTTATAGCTGCCCCAGGGAGGAGGAGGGCAGCACCATACCCATCCAAGAGGACTACCGAAAACCAGAGCCTGCTTCCTACCCTTGAGCCAGCGTTGGGTGGGGGTGGAGGACGGAGGGGAAGGTCATGGTGGAAATAAAGCTCTAGCCTCCTTTCCACCTCACTGGCTGTCCAGAGAGCCAGACCTGGCAGCCCTTACTTCAGTACCATCCTCTTATCAGGATCCTTTCCTATGTACACTTGACAAAGTGCCTTGCTGAGACTGGCACGAATTGAGACTGAGACTGAATGAACAGGAGACGGATTAAGCAAGCTTGGCCCTGGTACTACGGGAGGGCCCAAGCTTTAGCTGTAAAACACACTTCTGGCTGCAAAAGCCCCACACGCTATAGCCCTGACCCCCAAAATGGGCAAAATAAAAATGACAGACTCCCACGTTGCTGCTCTCCAGCTTTCTCTCTGAAATTCCAATTCCACAACCAAGGCCAGTCCCAGGCTCATCTGTCAAATCAGGGATCTGAGGGGGAGGGAGCTTTCTCCAGTGCAGCCTGTTGTGTAGTGTGTGGCCAGTCTGAGCGTGGTGGGGCCACAGTGGGTGTGGCACAGATAGGCTACAGTGGAGCCGGCTTCTGGTTCCATTGCCCCTCCCCGTTTCCACATTTAGAGCTCCACTTTCTTAAGTCAGATGGGAAGCAAAAGAGTACAGTGATGCCAGATCTTGAAATCACCTGGGTTTTTGGGGGGGTGTGGGTGGAGAAAGGAGAACAGCCGGCAGAGCTCTGGCAGCTACTACAAAAGGCTTCACCTAGAGGCAAAGTCAGTCACGGTGACACTTCCTCTAAGTGAAAGCGAAAGAGAAGTGAAGACAGAAGAAACACACGGGCAGGAGCGGGCGATTGGCCAAGCAAGGGGTACTTGGAGAACCCCTCTTCTTCAGCCCAGGCTTGCAAGCGGGGGGTGGGGAGGCAGTGAGAAAGGCAGTGGGCGAAGAGGGGCCTGAGAGCAGCCTCTATGGACACGAAGGCGGGGTGGTGTCTGCTGTTCTGCTTGGCTCTGTCCCGAGCAGCAAGAACTGGTGAGTTGGGGGCACTCTCAGGGAAATGCTGGGCCCAGGTAGCCACAAGATTCTAGAAGGGTAAAGAGGCCAGGAATTTTTCCTATCACCTTCTAAGCCCAATAGTTTAAAGGCTTAGCAGCTGACATTAATTATATCGGAGGGAGAAGGGGGAGGAGCAGAGAACTCAGCTGGGAAAAGGGTAAAGAAAAAAGGGGTCCGTTTGTGGAAGTGTCAGGAGAGCCACTGTTCTTTGGAGAGAGTGCACTGGCCTGGAAGCTGACACTTTAGAGGAGGAAGGGGGTTCCCTGGGCTAGGAAATCGCTTGGGAGGTGATCCCTGGTGGGGGAGGGGAAGTCACACTAATGGCGAAAAGCAGAGCAGACTCAGAAGGCTGCTTGGAAAACTTTAGAGGTTGGCTGGTATTACCCCTAGCAACAGCGACTGACCCAGCTCTCTTCTGTTGGCAGTATTTGCTCATTGATTTGTTTCTGCTAAGAATTTCTTTGATGGAAGACAGTCTTTCATTTCATAGTTAGAAATAAGAGTAAAAATATAAACCCCTCTAAGCAAGGCAGATCCAGGACTTGAAATAATTCACACCAGAAAGTATTTACATAGAGTAGCAGGTGCCTCCCAGAAACCTGGTTTTGTATATGATGTAAGAATAGAGACAAACAGACAGCTAGGACCTGAAGACAATTTTTACCCCTTGATAAGTCCATAGTTTGGGAGATGGGCACGAGAAACAAGTATGGAATGACTTTCTGGGCAAGAGGGTTCTCACCCTAGCTTTTTCTCTGCAGAACCCCAGGCAACAGAAAGGCAATGGCGAGCAGTGGACGTTATCTTAGACTGCTTCTTGGTGATGGAAGGTGGGCACCAAAGGGCTTTTGCCAGCAGTGGGAATAGGGAGAAGGCCTTGCTTGTGCTGAAGCAGGTGCCAGTGCTGGATGATGGCTCCCTGGAAGGCTTCACTGATTTCCAAAATGGTGCAGTGGACAAAGATGACCAACCTGTTATATTTGAGGCCTCAGGTAAAATCCCTCCTTCCACCGTGTGTTCTTGGCCCTGCTGGGACAGCCCTCCTGGCGCAGGCCAGTTTCTGATTATACTCCTATACGTGCCTCCCATTAGCTTTTGTATTATCCAGCCAAACTGACCTGTGTGCTACCCTTCTCCCCAGTGGACCTGGTACAGATACCCCAGGCCGAGGACTTGCTCCATGCTGACTGCAATGGGAAAGAGATGACCTGTGAAATTTCCCGCTATTTTCTCCAAGTCAGACAGGAAGCCACTGTTGAGAAGGCAGCTTGGTTCATCATCAACGTGCAAATATCTAGAGGGGGACCCAGTGTCTCCATGGTAATGAAAACTCTTGGGGATGGTGAGAATGGAGCTGTCTGGCAACCTATGCTGAATCTACCCCAAAGCCTCCAGGGGACTGTGCGAACTGCAGGTAAGAAAATGAAACACAAGAGGAACTGGGGATATAGCTCAGTTGGCAAAGTGCTTGCACAAGACCCTGGGTTCAATCCCCAGAACCACCCCCACCCAAAAAAAAATGAAAGAAAGAAAATAAAATACAAGAGGCACAAAGGAAATTTTGCTTTTTTAAAGTGGTGAGTGATGGGAAGATAGAAGGAAGAGAACAAGTCCACTTCCATCTCCCATGGCAGCATCTCAGGGTACCTCCTAGGCCTTGGCGGTCCTTTCTTTCTAAAAACTCATGGGTCCCTAAGAGAATGCTGGGAGGCACCTACTTGAGGTGAGCACTCAAGTGAGTCCAAGCACTAAGAAAACCTATGTACTATCTCAAAACTGGAGACAATTTTTATCTGTGGGGAAACAGGACACATGAGACTATTCTATTCATGTATACTGTCCATTTCATATTAAGTCATATTAAGAATAGCCCCGGGATGGGATTGTGGTTTCAGTGGAAGAGCGCTCATCTGGCATGTGTGTGGCACTGGGTTCAATCCTCAGCACCACATAATAAATAAATAAATAAAAGTATTATGTCCATCTACAACTAAAAAAAAAAAAATAGCCTCAGTTTCCTCCAGTGAAAATCTAGGCTGATCTAGTACTTCAAGATAATTATAGCAACTCTGGAGGCTGAGGCAGAAGAATTACAAATTTAGCGAAATCCTGTCTCAGAAAATAAAAAGGTTTGGGGTGGGATGCAGTGGTAGATGCCTATAGCAACTCAGGTGGCTGAGGCAGGAGGATCACAAAGTTCCAGGCCAGCCTGGACAACTTAGTGAGGCGCTAAGCATGTCAGCAAAACTGTTTCAAAATAAAAAGGGCTGGGGATATAGGTCAGGGGTAAAAGGCCTCTGGACTCCAATCCTAGGGCCAAAAAAATAAGGTACTAGTATGCTTTTTTTTAAACTCTTATTTCTAGTCTTCATAGCAACCTCACTTAAACAGATGAGCTTATCAATACTGAGGGACTTATAACTAGTACATGGAAGAACCAGATTTCCACAGGTTTATTGTTGTTGGAGTTTTTGTGTGTTTTTTTTTTTGTTTGCTTGTTTGTTTGTTCTACTCTGATAATTCTTACCTGAAAGTCAACAGCAACTCATAATTTTGCATGTACATTTTTTCTGGTGAGAGGTCCATAGCTTTCATCAGATCATCTAAAGTGTGACAACAAAATGGTTCAGAACTCCATGTATACCATGTTGCCAATTCCAGAGTCCCATTTTTGGTTATTTTTGATGGGAAAGGAGCTCAAGTGGGTTCATTGCCCAGGGCAGGATGGGGCAGATGTATGTCCACAACTCATAGACCAGGTAACCTCAAGGAGGAAGCAATCCACAAGTCATCTCCTTTTCTCTCCACAGTGGAATTCCAGGTGACAACACTGACCCAATCCCTGAATTTCCTGCTGGGATCCTCAGCCTCCCTTCACTGTGGTTTTTCCATGGCTCCAAGCCTGGATCTCATCAGTGTGGAGTGGCGGTTGCAGTATAAGGGCAGTGGCCAGCTGGTGTACAGTTGGATGACAGGGCAGGGGCAGGCCAAGCGGCAGGGTGCTACCCTGAAGCCTGAGGAACTACTTATGGCCGGGGATGCCTCTCTCACCCTCCCCAGCCTCTCTCTAAAAGATGAGGGGACCTACATTTGCCAGATCACCACCTCTCAGTACCAAGCTCAACAAATCATCCAGCTCAATATCCAAGGTAAGGCTAGGACCCAGTTATCCTGGACAGAGGAATATGCCTCTAGGGAGTGTTTTCCAGATTGGGATCCAAACACAAAGGCAATTTCCTGAGAGGCAGACTGTATTACTACAACCTAATGCTGCCTTCAACCTATAAGCACAGATGGCATCGGATAAGGTGTCCCACTAGACTCCAAGATAAATCCAGCAAGAAATATCCAGCCCAGGATCCCGCTCCCCTGCCCTGGTGGGCCATCTGCAATCACCCTGGTCCTTTTGGACCACATCCTAAGGAGGGGCAGTAGCAGACTAAGGAGGGGTGGAGGGAATGGTTCTGACCAGGAAAGAGTATTTTGCCACTGATAGCCTTTAAAATTGCTGACTTGTAGTAACAATGTAAAGCAAACCAAAGGGACTGGGGGTATAGCTCAGTGATAGAGCACTTGCCTAGCATTGTGAGGCCCTGGGTTCAATCACTATTAAAAAAAGGAAGCCAGCCAGCCAAGTTTTAATTGGCTTTACTATTGCTTTTCTAGAAAATGTGCCCCCTTATGGCCTACATTCAGGTGGACTCCTCAAGCCCCCCTTCCTTGGAATACCACTGAGGAAGAAACTTCAGCCTCCGCTACCTACTCTCATTCTCAACAGGAACAAAAAGGCTTCAGGTTCCTCTTCTGGCCCCAGTTGGACTCCTCTGGAATCTTATTCCTCATTGTTTCCTCAGCTTCCCCCAAAATTCGACTGAGCTTGGCAAATGAAGTGCTGCCGCCCACTCTCATCTGCAATGTCGCTGGCTATTATCCTCTGGACGTGATGGTGACGTGGATCCGAGAGGAGCTGGGTGGAGCCCCAGCTGAGGTGTCTGGTGCCTTCTTTTCCAGCCTCAGGCAAAGCATGGCTGGCACCTATAGCATCTCCTCGTCCCTGATGGCTGAACCTGGCCCTGAAGGTGCCACTTATACCTGCCAGGTCACTCATATCTCCCTGGAGGAGCCCCTTAAGGCCAGCATAAGGGTTGCCCCACACACAGGTACTAAGGGTATCCTCTTTTCCCCACTACCACACTTGGGCTCATGGCTCTCCTGCCCCTATGCTTTGTTCCATCCCAGCTTTTTCACACTCCTGCCTCTGCCCCAGGCTTTGTCTTTCCTAAGGTAGTAGCCTCTACAGCTTCTGCCACACATCACCTGGGATTTTGTTCCATCTCAGCCTCCAGGGAACCAGGCAATGTGCTTGGATTGCAGAGCAAGGTTAAAGGATTCCTGATCCTGCCCTCTAGAACCTTAGTACAGCTGGAGAGACAAGACTAGGTAGACTGGGAAGGTGAGCCAGAGAAGACACTTGAGCCCAGTCAGCTAGCTTAAGGGGAAGAGAACACACAAGACAGAGAGAATGGTACATGTGAAGATAACAATTATAAAACATCCTACTGAAAACTTTGGGAACTGTAAGTAGTTTAGTACAGCCAGAGCCAAAGGTATATGGGAAAAGGGGGAAATGGCTGTGAAACTAGAGGGAATTCTATTTATTGAGCATTTACATGAATCAAACACTGTGTGAAGCACTTAAATTTTAAGTATGATCTCATGTATTATAACTGTTGTTTTATTGACTTATTTATTTATTGAAATGGGATCTCACTATGTTGCCCAGGCTGGCCTGGAACTCCTGGGCTTAAGTGATCCTCCTGCCACCATGCCCGCACAACACCCATTTTATAGATGTGTAAGCTGGCAATTGCAGATGTTATTTTCCCAATGTCACCTATTAATAAAAATGTGAAAAACAGGCAGGCTGACTCCCCTTACAGACTTAAACCTTGCAATCTCCATGGTCCTTCAAACTGGAATTTCATCCTGAAAGTCAAAGAATGTTGGTGAAAGGTCTTAAACAGATAAGGGACAGGAAAGAATCTACGCCTTGAAACACAAACATTAGGAGCATGGGACATTATTTGATTGCTTACTAGATTATGGGCTTCCCAAAAAACTGGGGTCTTATCTCAGTTCATGCCATTTCTCAGCTATTTACAAAATCTCAGTTTAACAGTCAATGACTAACCTAAATCTCCTTCACAAAATAACAACTTTTTAAATGTTGCACTGAGGTAGAAAGAGGAAGAGAATTCTGTGTGGAGTAACATGTAAACACCAGACAGTACTGAACAAATACAGAAGCTGCTGTATGCACAATTTCCAGCTCTTTCATTGGAGAGTAACAAACACACACGCCTGTGCTTCTCTTCCCTGGCGGGGATAATGGCAGCAAGGGCTCAGCACAAGAGATGATTCCTGCCCATATTCTCTCACCTACAGAGCAGAGAATGGCCTTTGAAGTCATCTTGGCCAGCAGTCTTTTCCTTCTTGCACTACTGTTCCTGGGGCTTCAGAGACAGCAAGGTAAGTGCCTGGTCCCCCTCAGCTCTGGTCCCTGACCCAACCTGCTTGTAATCAACCCACTCTGAGCACCTCCCCACCTAGACCAGGGGTGGAGCCCAGACTTCCTGAATTCCAGCTGCCTCTCCCACCTCAGACAGCCTCCTGCTTTTGGTAACTAATTTTGTTCCCTCTGTTTTCTCCTAGCTTCCTCACCAAAGTCTGCCAAGATTCTGAAGCATTCTGAGTAAATACTCTTTTGCCCCAATTATAAAGATGGAGTACTCATATTGTCTCAGAAGGACCTCACAATGAATCACAAAGCAGAGAAAAGCCTGAAGGGGGATCCAGGTCTGGAGGTAGGAGGACAGACAGGACAGGTAATGGCCCTGGCTCTACACAGGGCTCTGCCTTCCTTCACTGTGTGCCCCGGGCTGATGTGTCAAGAGAAACAACAGAAAGAAGGGAGGAAGAATGTTTGTGTGGAGGTTAACACCAAAGGGCCATATTTGAGTTGAGGTGGTAGGAAAGAAAAATAGGAAGAAATAGAGAAAGGAGCAAGTAAGAGACAATGGAATAAGGGGGTGGGGGTTAGGCCGCCACACACAATTTCGAATTGTCAAAAATAAAAGCCCTTTGTGACCACTGAGACAAAGCTTTTCCATTTTCCTGTCTTTCTGAGTTGAATCCAATTAAGCCCTGTCCCCAAAACTACTCCAACTTGCAAAATATTTAAAGGTGTGAAACAAAGGCTTCATCTCTGCTGCTTTGTGTTAGTAACCCTGAACTGCATAAGGTTTTGATCTTTCAGACAATTGCCAGGAATTTCAGAATACCTACAAACTCTCACTCCATCAGCTGTGAGGAAGTGATTTTTCCTGTTGTTCATTGCTACAATGTGTCTGGTCAGTACAATGGAACTCAGCAAAAGAAAACTGCATGAGGATAATCGGGGGAGAAGGTATATGGTGGAGGTCACATGTGAACATGTCCCCAGGGACAGGAAAGGCAGGCCAGGGACTAGGAAGGAGGCAGATGGGGAGGCCCAAAACCCATAATTGTTTGCCAGCGTGATGTGCCTACTCAACTTCCTGTTGTCACTTCCTCTCACCAGCACCTGCAAGAGTCAAGCTGTTTTAGGTATTAAATGCTGAGAGCACAGACCACTTCCTCTGCCAACACACAAACCTTTAATCTCCATGAAAACCATTCAAACACATATGCTGCCCTTTGTCCTTTAGCAACATCAGACTGGTAGAAAGAAATGACACCCCTACCCCACCAGTTATTCCAACCCAAACAACAACCAAGCCAGTTTAGTGGTAGGAATTAGTTGTATTTTTTGCCTTTGTTCAGAATACATGAAATTGGTAAATATGCCACATGCCTTTGGTGAAGTACAACTGTTATTACTCTATACAAGTATGAGATTGGGGTTTGGAAAAAAGACAAAGAGGTAATGACAGACACACAGTGGTAACCCCACATCATCTCATGGCAAACTGAAGAAAGGGATGTGGGAAACTCGGCTTCATTTGACTGCAGAGTCCCGGGGTTTAGTTGCATATTTGCTCATGCACATGGGTGGTGGGAGGGAAGTGGGAGAGCAAAGACACAGAAGAGGATTCAGGGTGGGATGAGAAAGAAAGAAGGGATATTACCCCCAAAAGAGCAAAGCCAACTATACTTGGTGAGCCTCAAGAGGGACAGAAACCCAGAAAATAATTCCCATGATAGGGTTGGGTGGACCAAGAGGGTGAATTTGCTCCAGGCTTGGGGACACATCTTGGACAGTGGTGGTTCTTCTCCAGCGGTGACCCCCTGCATTAGGCAAGGAGGAGCCCAGAGGAGAGTGGAGACCTTCGAGGGGAACGCTGGGAGGGTACACTGACTGCTTTCTTCCAGCTCTTCAGTCCTGCCCTAGGCAGGACGAAGGAAATATGGGAAAGGGGGCAAAAAGAAAGGAAGAATGGTTTTGCACAATGAAATGCTGCTGCATGGAAAGCGGGCATTCAGACCCAGCCCAGCATGGCCTCAGACTCTTTCTGATTGTGGACCAGAGGACAGAGGGAAACACTGCTATGGGTCTTCCCCTTCCTGTTCCCAGCCTTCCCTCCTCCCCTAGCACCTCAGTTTTATCCCATGTAACATGCTATCCTGAAGTTCAGCAGTAGTCCCCAAGATAGGCTAAGCAGCTCCCATCCTCAGGTTCCACTGTCTATGCACACAAAGCAAGCAAAGAGGAGAAAGACAGGAAGCAATGTGGGATTCAGATGGGTGAGGGCAGTTCAGAAGGGGAGCATACTGCAGAAAGAACAGAGAGGTGGCTCCAGATGCAAGGGGCCCATGATAGTATAACAATATAAAAATACACCTGTCACAGACTCTCAACCCTCCCACTCCTCCCACTGAGTTAGTGGACCTACTGGACTTCTCTAAATCTTTATAATCAACCAGGGCTCACAGGGATGGTGTGGAGAAAAGAATTCTATGGGAGTCTAGGACCTTACCTCTAGCAGCCTCACATTTCTTTATCAACAGGAAGGGAGGAACGGGACCTTCTTTAAAGAGAGGGCAAGAAGTGGCTTCCTGAAAGCCTGTTATTCTCAAATTAGGCCCTTTACTTACTGTTTCTCTATAACAGGTATTCTCTCTTTATTCCAGTAATTAAAATAAATCACAAGCACCAAACTCTGGCTAGTTGCAATTATTTGATGCTCTCATGAACAATATAGAATGCTGCAGAAAACATCAAAGAGAGATAGCTCCTTCCAGTTAGAAGCAAATAGGTCTGCTTCTAGGATGGAAATGAGAGTCTCCTGGTAGTTTTGTAATCAACAAGTGCTTGTTTTCCAGGCTAATAGAGAACAAAGTAAAAGACTATAAGATTCCTGAAAGACATAGAAAATCTTGGGCTGAAAGATTAGCAATAACTGCAAAAAACAGATTTGATTTTCTAAAAGGGTACTGCACTAGGACCAGATTGGCCTTTGGACAGAACCCCAGGGCTCTCTAAAGGCCTGGCACAAGAGAAAAGCTAGCAAGTGCAGCACTGAGCAAGCCACCACTTCCCAACTATTCATGGTCCCCTCCTGCCAGAGACCTGGCCTTTCTAGGAGACACTCATGGACACCAATACCCTTCTTCTCCCCAACAACCTTACCAGCTTCTTGGGCACTTCACCTCAGTTATTCTCCCTCCCCTTGGCAGCCAACTCCTTTAGGGTATGGGGGAACATAAGAGTACATGAGAAGGAGAAAGGAAGGAGGCGTCAGCTGTTGATCTTTAGGTAGTGACTTCAAGACTGTACCACGAGCAGCATTTCTAGTATTGAGGGACAGAATGCAAATGAATGCAACAAAAAAGGAAGAATGGATGATGGAGAAGCCTGGGCTGGGATGGAGAAAGGCAGATGGGGAAGTTTGTTGAGAGAGCAAACAGAGGGAGAAGGACATGAGCTTGAATGGCAATGGAGAACAGGGAAGGGGTGGCACATTCTCAAGTAAAAAAGTAGACTGGACACAGGAATCAGGAGGTCCCAGATGGAGAAGAAAAAGAGACAGGAGAAAACAAGAGGGCAAATTACATCAAATTACTAGATGTTCAAGTCTCTCAGTTGCAGGTGCCCCAGCCCCAAGGTCTCCCTCTGACCCAAGCCAGTGACAAACAGCATAGCCCCACTTCCTCAGAACACAAGGGGCCATCTCCCCACAATGCCTTACAAGGAGAAGGCTTGTCTACCAAGGAAATTCCTTGTCTTTACCCTTCCTCCCTCCCAAACCAGGTATGATCCCCAGCAGCAGTCTCCATACCTCAGTCAGAGCAGCCCCACTCCCCAGGCAGGCAGGCAGGCAGGCAGGGCTGGGAGAAGATTCCGGGACCTTCCCACCTCTTCACCCCATCAGCAACCTCAGCGATACTTACTTACAATAACTACCACGATGATGGCACAGATAACTCCCAGCATGATCATCATCTGAAGAAACATGGACAAAACATGAGCCTTTGGACTTGGGGAAGAAGGAAAAAAGCTGGACCAGAGATTTGGGAACAGAATTTCCTCTATTCTTTGGGCAGTGGAAGAAACCACTCATCACCCAGACATGAGCATGCCTTTCAGGCCTAACCCTTTGCTTCCCATAGGATCATAATCCCACGACCATGTCTGTAGTTTTTCAGAAACAGCACAAGATCTGCAATTCACTCCTTTTTGGCTTAGTTCCTGTTGCCTGGGGGCTTTAAAGGGAATTCCAATGAAGAAGCAGGCTTTAGATCTTTATATTCAGTTAGTTTGGTTTTCATTGTGAAATGTGTAGTGCATTTCCAAAAATTTTCAGGAGTATCTACACCTGAATCATTGTGTTGCTGTTGGTTGTGTCAGAGAAACTTCCAGTTAAAATTTTTTGCCTGAGACTCCTATGGGAAAAAGGTACTTAAATATTCTAAACCCCAGGGTAGCACTTTCACTTTCTCAGTAAGTGGTTCTGAATACTCTAGCCTACCCTGGTGGCTAATACATGTAACTCATCTCAAGGAGAAGGTATTCAGATTTTCCTCCTAAGAACCCTGCAAGGCAGAGACCTGGCACCAGTAGTAAGAGGGAATGTAGAAGCTGAGAGTTTTCTTGTCTTCTACAAGTGGAAGCACAAGAAAAGAAGGGAGAGAGGACAAGGAAATTCACCTTGCAGTTTTTCCACCAATACTTCCTCTTTAGCTTGGCAGCACTGCTCTCAAATTGCGATGCTCCCGCCTGTAAGGCATCAGCTCGGTCATCCAGTTCTGATAGTTTCTGGTCCCTCTCCAGGACCTTGTCCACATTCACACGCATGATGTCCACCACCTAAGAGGAGTGCAAAAACAAGGCTGCTAAGCTTCCCAATAGAGATAGGAGAAAGAACAACAACTTGGGAATTGCAAGTCTGGTCCCATCTAAGAGATGCTTTGCCTCTCAGTCTTTAACTAACCCCCTGTTAAAAAAAAAAAACAGAGAATGGACAAGAGGTTTGCTTCTGTTTCTAAACTTCTATGGTGGACAAGAGGTTCCCTTGTTTCTAAACTTCTATGATTTGGAAACTCTCAGAGAGATGGGAATCCACCTACCTCCTCCACCTGTGCCTGGGTTTGCTGTAGTCGTCTATTACTGGTCATGTTAGGAGGAGGGCCAGGGGGACCTCCACCAGGGGCAGTCCCTTCTGTCCCTTCAGTGGGTGGCTGAGCTGGAGCAGACCTGTGGAGAGAGTACACAAAATAACAAAGACAAGAAAGGAATCATATGCATTCTCACCTAATTCCACCCCAGTAACTATGATTAGGTTATAGCAAATGGAAGGGATTCTAGCTCCTTGGCAATATCAAGTAGGGAGATGCAGCATACAGGCAAGGAACAAAAGATGAAAGAGCCAGTAACAATATAAGAGATCTTGTTTTGGGCTAACCTCTGACTCAAATTCAAGCCCATCTTCTGATACAATGGCTTCAGGGACAAATGTGCCAGCCTTGGCCTAAATGGCATTTCCCAGGCTGTCAAATGCCTTCGCATGAAGACAAATGGAAAAACTCAATACAGATAGGAGACATTTGTGAAAAACACAAATCCCTCAGGACATGCAAAGTTTGAACATAAAAGGAAAGGCAAGCTGACTAACTCTGCTTATAGTGATCCAGTTATTGATTATGTTTCACATGGTGATTAGTATATCTCTGCTGCTACAAGGACAACTTGGAGTATCACCAAAGGCAAAGTCTGTGTAGGTAGAATGAGTCAGGATTGTTTGTTTGCATTGTTTTTGGCAGAGAAGATAGGGGTTTCATTTAGATTGAATCTGGGGCACAAAGCAATTGCATTAGTTGTGGAAACTGTTCCAAGAGCATAGACAGGAAACAAAAATAATGCTAGAAATAGTTCTCGATGTACATGCACCACAGACATTCTGTACCTTCCTTTTGTAGATCTGGCAGAGTCTCAGGAGACTGGCCTAGTCTCCTGTGTCCCAAAAAGAAATCTTGGTTTATACTACCTTACCCATGGAAACTGTTTCTCTTCATTACCAATTGAGGCTAAGACATACCTTAGCCTTTGGAGGGAATAATCCAGTGAGGTCTTCAAGATAAACTTCTTTCACAGTCCCAACACATGGAGACTAAATTCACCTGCTAAGGAATTCCAAGTAGTCTAACCTAAAGATTGAGATTTTCTCTGCCAAGGAAAAAACCACAGGTGGGTAAAGATCTCTAAAATTTGAAGAAGAATACAAATTTCCACAGCTCATAGAGAGGGAGAACCTCAAAAAACATACTTCACCAGAGGAGTCCAAGAATAAATGCATCACAAAGTCACCAAAAAGGAAATTCCTTGATTAATCACAATAGAACTAATACCTAGAAGCTCCTCTTTCTTAACTGAATTTCTTTCAGTCTAAAAATAAAAAAAAGACAGTTAGAGAGGCTATACTAGGAGATTATTCCTCATTTAAGGGATCATTTTTGTATTTCCCTCCAAGTCACAAAGAGGGCAAAGGAAAGAAAGATACAAAGCCCTGGGAGCCTTAAGACTCTTATGCTGGTACTGAGATATTTAAGCAATCTGATTCTAGACTGAAGGCAGAAATTTCAATGAGTAAGTAGCAGCCGGTGTTGGAAGTAGTCCAGGATGGTGGCACCAATGACAAGATTAAGGTCAAAGACCTTGTGATTCCCTGGTAGCCACCATGCTTTCTCCATTCCTTCTTTTCATCCCACATGGATAATATCTAGAACCAGTCAGCTGAGAAGGATCCCCCTCCCCAAAATGAAAATAATTGATGTCTGTAGGGCTTGTCCAAAATGCAGAGAATATTATCTATAGTTAAAACTGCAGAAATCAAAGAGGAAAAACTGAAACGGCTATAGAGCCTTTGGGGGACTGACTTCACTTACTACTTGTTGGGAATTAAGTAGAACACTCAGCAGTACCACATCCAGAAAGAGTTATAACTCTTATGTAATATAAGTAAATCTTTCCCTTTTTTAAGTCCCTATGAGAAGGAATACAAATACACCTAGGATTAGGACAGGACTCCAGGCAGTATCAGAAAAAAAAAAATTAAATTAAAACATATTGTGGTCCTGAGAGGGAAGAACTTAATTGGTCTAGCCATAGCTCTCCTTCAAGATCTTGGGAAGGGGATGATGTTGAAGATGGTTGGAGACTAAACTCTGCATGTCAGAGAAAGAGGAGATTGTTCAGTTCTCCCTATTTCTCCTCCAAATACTTGGCTAGGACTTGGTGACAGAAAAGCGTCTCCTATAAGGGTGGCCTTAGGATGGCATGGGATCACATGCCCCTTGGGACTTTCTGAACTGCACACCTGGGGCCAGGTGTGCATGCAGTTCAGAAAGGAGACTGGCAGATAAGTTTCCGGAGCTTTAATTATGGCCTTGAGGACGCGGTACATCACACTTTGGGTAAGGGGCACACACAAATCCAGAGACCTCAGGCAATCCGAATTACTCACCGGCCGGTGCACCCATGACTGTGTTTCCAAACGCTCTAAGTACAGATTCAGACGACATGATAGGGTTTTCAAATTCCCTACCTTTCTCCATACCCGCCTTCGCCCTCTCTGGGATTTCACTATACGGAGACTAGAATAAAGTGCCACTCAAAAGAGAAGAGAGGGTGCAATGAATGTGGGACCCCTGTCCCGCCCGTGGGGACTAGCTGTGGCTCATGCAGGAATGGGGGGCTGTCCCCCTCCGGGGGTGGGGGCGGTCTGGGGGCGGTGCGCGGTGGAGGTTCCCGCGTCGCTGCAGCTGCTGCAATGCGCCATTTTCAGTCCCGCAGAGTAGGGCGCTGGGGGTGAGAGTTGGCAAGGAGGTCTGGAGCCCCCTACAACAGAGTCAACTCACATTTTTCTGACAGGAGTGAGAGTCCAACTCCTCTCTGGAGGCTGCGGCGAGACACCCGGCGGAGAAACGCTGCGGCTGAATCGGACGGAACTGTGGAGCTCCGCCTCCCACTGACCACCAGGCGGTCTAGCTGCGGTGCAACTTACTGCAGCTGCCGCGCCGGAGCCCAGCTTTATTAGTGCTGGCCACGCCTCCCGGATACCGATAACAACATCCAGTCCAATCCACGCCTAGAGTCGTCTCCAAGTACAGCCGTTCTAGCCCGCCCTGTCCCTTCAGATATGCCAATCAAAACTCTCCTCTCGTACCGACTTCTAAAAGGAGCGGTTGCGGTCAGGATTTTCACTGACCAATACAACAGTAGTTTGCTTACCTGTCGGGCTCAGTAATAGGGAGGGGTGGAAATATGGTCCAGCCCTCTGGAGGGCGGCCTTAACAGTTTGCGATAGGCCTTTTTGGTGCCTCCCAACCAATCGCTGACCTGGGTCTGGGCCGCTCCAGCCAATCAGGCCGCTCGCGCTGACAGTCGCGGGCCCGCCCATCCTCGTAGCCCCGACGCTGGAGTCCCTAAAGCAGGTGGAGGTTCAGCTGTGTGTGCACATCCCTGGAGTCCAGACCTGCTCCACGTTCCACCCCAGCCGCCGGCTTCTGACCAACAGCCCTGAAGTCGCAGAACGCAACAGAGCCATCGGCTCGCGGAGCCAAATTCCGAGATTCAGTCAGACCAAATCTAATACGAAAGGCTTCGTTCTGCTTCTTTCAATATAGCCTATCCAAATTGAACCGCCCCCGCTCGCCTCCCAACTTTGCTTCTCTGCTTCCTCCAGGTAGGTTACCACGTCGATTTAATTGTGCAGACCGGAAACCTGAAGCCATCCTAGATTCCCTCCCTTTTCATATTAACCCCTCCTCCAAAGGAAATTCACCAAGTCAGTCATTTTTTTCCCTTAATGCTTAAAGAATTCTCTATTATCCCTTTCCTGGGCATCAATTATAAACCTCACCATTATGACTGTGTTTCTTGCCACTTAGAATTTTTTACATTTATTGAAAGTGTAGGTTCATATGCATATAGATTTTATCATATTTCACTAATGTTTACATAAAAAGGAAAATAGAAACTAATAAGATAAAGTTATCTACTTCACATAAACTTTTCTTTTTTTTTTTTCCACATCCCCAGCCCTATTTTGTATTTTATTTAGAGACAGGGTCTCACTGATTTGCTTAGTGCCTCACCATTTCTTTGGCTGGTTTTGAACTAGCGATCCTCCTGCCTCAGCCTCCCAAGCTGCTGGGATTACAGGCGTGCGCCACTGCGCCCGGCCACAGAAGTTCTTAATAAATCATGTTTTTGACTCAGTTTTAGATGTTTCTGCACGACGTAGTCCTGTGTGCATGCCATGAAAGACAGGTAACACAGCATTTCCTGTTCCTCTTCTGTCTTCCAAGCCTCAGACACCCTTTTTGCAAGTTTTGATGCTCATGAGCATCTATGATAAATTCAGTACAACTGCTGTCTGAGTAATAGCTATAGTGAAACGTTCCAATTTAAGACCTGTTAAAATGCCAAAAGAAAGAGAAAATAAAAACAAAGTACCTTCTGGAATTAATGAAATAGAATATTCTGCTTCCAATCTTGCTCTGCCTCATAGCCATTCTATAAAGCCATCAAGGTGATCTAACCAAATATCACCATCCTGCTTAAAACCCTGAAACAATTACTTTAAAAACACAACATATTGGGGCTGGGGATATAGCTCAGTTGGTAGAGTGCTTGCCCTGGGTTCAATCCCCGGCCCCACCACAAAACACACACACACACACACACAATGTAGAGTATTTGCCTAGCACGTGGGAGGCATCGGGTTCAATCCTCAGCACCACATAAAAATAAACAAATAAAGTTATTGTGTTCATCTACAACTAAAAATTTTTTAAAACACAGTGTATCAATCATAGGTGTTTATCCCATCCTCTTTGTGAAACCACATCAAAACAACAACCTCAAAAAATTCCTGCAACTGGGGAGGCTGAACCAGGAGGATCACAAATTCAAGGCCAGCCTCAGGCCAGCCTCAGCAATTTAGCGAGACCCTAAGCAACTTAGTGAGGCCCTAGACTCAAAATAAAAACTTGGCCAGTGGCAGTGACAAATGCCTGTAATCCCAGTGGGACACTGAGATAAGAGGATGGCGAGTTCAAAGCCAGCCCCAGCAAAAGCAAGGTGCTAAGCAACTCTGTGACACCCCTATTCTAAAATCAAATACAAAATAGGGCTGGGGATGTGGCTCAGTGGTTGATTGCCCCAGAGTTCAATCCCGGGTACTGCCCCCACCCCCGGAAAAATAAAAAATAAAAAGGACTAGGGATGTTGCTCAATGGTAAAGGGCCCCTGGATTCAATCCCTGTTACCAAAAAAAACACATCACAACCTCTAAGTATCCTTTCCAACTCTCCCAGAAAAAAAAAAAAATTAACACTATATTAAAAAAAATAAAAGCACTTTTTATTATTTTAAAATAAATAAACCCTCTAGCTTCACTTATTTTTATTATTTTATTTTATTTATTTTATTATTCTCAAATAATTAACATGAGATATCCAGAAAAAAAAAAAGAAATCAAGGAATTTCCTCTCTGCCCCTAACTCAGTTCCCCCAATGGTAACACCTTGTATAAATACTTTTTATTATTAAAACCAGGAAATTGACATTGCTGCAATCCATACAGTTCATTCAAAATTCACCAGTTTTGTATATACTCAATTGTGGAGGGTTTTTCCCCCCCTTTGGTGTGTGTGTGTGTGTGCATGCAATTTTATCATATATAGATTCTTATAGCCACTACCACAATCAGGATACAAAACTATTACATTACCATAAGGCTCCCTTGTGCTACCTGTTTATAGCCACCCACACCTATTCCTAACCCTTAGCAACACTAATTTTCTTTTCCATTTCTATAACTTTATTTCAAGAACATATGTAAATGTAATCATATAGTATGTAACCAATAAAATAAAAAGTTTACTGGCTCTTTGTAGTTATACATGACAATAGAATGTATTTTTTTAATTTTTTTTAGTTGTAATGGACACAATACCTTTATTTTATTTATTTATTTTTATGTGGTGCTGAGGATCGAACCCAATGCCTCACACGTGCTACCACTGAATCTTAACCTCAGCCCTGTAGAATGTATTTTGATACTTACATGGAGTATAACATATCATACATACATGGAGTATAACTTTTCATTTTTGTGGCTGTATGTGTGTAACCTGTGAGATTGGCTTTTCTTTCCCCACTCAATATAATGCCCTTGAGATCCACCCAATTTAGTTGATCAGTAATCTTCACTGCTGAGTATTATTCCACTTTGTTTAACTATTTATCTGCTGACAGATTGCTTTTGTACCTTTGTCAAAAATCAGGTACATTTGTACATGTCTATTTTGGGGGGGGTTCTTTATTCAGTTCTGAGACAGAGACTATGATGGTGGGGCAAAGACTGGGACAATAAAATAAACCCCTAGGCAGAGTAAATGTACCCTTTGTAGCATGGTACATTGCTTCTCTACCCTTGTGCTCTTTAAAAAAAAAAAAAAAAAAAAATCATGAGAACTATTAAAATCACAGAAGTGGAACATCTGCATAAGATAAAATTGTTCCCAGGGACAAACCTAAATAAACCTCCTAGCTTCACTTATTTTTAGTCAACTTAAAAATCACTAATTTTGGAGGCCACACAGCTGGGCATTATGTTATTAGTCTCTCATTCGCTTTGCTGTAGATAACACTTCTGATGCCTGTGAAGAGTGTGAGGGAGGAGGACATGGAGCAAGAACTGGTACAGTGGATAGGAGGAATCACTTCTAATATTTTATAATACAGTAACATAACTAGAGTTTGCAATAATTGGATGTTTCAAATAAACTAGTAGGATTTTTAATCCTTTGGGTTCTTTTGAAGAACACATTTTTGAGTTCTTCTGAACACAAAGAAATGATAAAGTGTCTGAGGTGATAGATACCCCAGTTACCCAGATCTGACCATTACACATTGTATACAAGTATTGAAATGTCACACCTTACCCCATAAATATGTATATGTGTTGACTAAAAATAAAAATATATATTTCTAAAAATCAGAAAAAAAAGAACACCTCTGATGTGTGTGTTATGATGACAACAGTTGCCTAGATTACTTTTCAGGAACTTGAAGGCCACTTTTGTTGAGAAACACTAAATATTCACTTGCGCCTGCATATGTCTAATGGGTGACTGGAATGGGATCTGTCTTCAATTATGTTTGTCCTCTTTACTGCCTTAACTTTTGGGTCAAATTCTTCTCAGTTCTACACCTAAACTATTGACTACTCATTGGAGGTGCTGTGTGTTTTCTTCTATCCTTGTGCTTTTTCAGCGCTATAAAAGTCCAAGCACACAAAGCCTATCAGCCCTGTTGTAAGGCCCAGATGGAGCCACAAAGCCAGGATGTTTGAATAGGATAATGGCACCAGCTACAAGAGTCCCAGAACAAATCAACCACTACTGCTCATTGTCTAAGTCTTGTGCAATAAGAAACTTTTTTTTTTTCTTAACTATGCCCCTGGTCAATGGAGAATTACCAGACTTTCCCACCCCAGGGAGCATCCTGATACCTCAATCAGTGCTATCTCCCTTTAGCTGAAGTCCCAGTAAGCCCCTTTTGCTACAGCACCAATTAAAGCCTTGCCCATATATTCGTGATCAACTCAATTTTGTTTATACCATCACCAAATCAAATGTTCCTGTCTGATATCAGTTGCAATGACCTCTGTGTTTATCCTTCTGCCAGTATCACAATCTTGGTTACTGTAGCTTGATTACTGTAACTTAACATTAAGTAGAATTATTTCTCCCATTTTATTCTCCTTTTTCAAAATTGTTTTAGCTATTCTAGGTCCTTTGCCTAAAAAGCATTTAAAAATATACTAATGAACTGAAAGAAAACAAAAACTGTCTGAAAACCAAGTGGAAGCTGGTACCCAAAGAGGTAGATTAAAAAATTTGAACATGGGGCTGAGGTTGTGGCTCAGCGATAGAGCACTCACTTTGCATGTGCGAGACCCTGGGTTTGATCCTCAGCACCACATACAAATAAATAAGTGAAATAAAGGTATTGTGTCAACTACAACTAAAAAAAAAAAA